ATTATTATTATTTTTTTTCGGGAGAATATTTTAATATTTGGGTCGGACAATGGCCTCAGCATGTTGCAAGCTCACACAGAAATATTTCCGATCGAGACAAGAAGAGGAAAAAAAAATTATTTTTTGAGAGATTCTCGCATCTTGAGGAGATGATGATGATGATGAGGGAAAAAAATGTCTATCGAGATTTACTTACTGGCCTAATTTTGTAATCAGAAATAAAATTAAAGTTGAAAGATGTGCACGAGATGATGAAAAATTGAAAATAGATGGGAAAATTTATGTTTTTTGTTAATGGGATGGGATTTATGGGTGAGTGTTGGGAATGTTTGAGGTTATGTTGACGGATTTCGGATTTTGATTGATTTTTGGCGTGAATTTTGAGGTTATTTTGCTGAATTTTGAGGTTATGTTCTGAAATTTTGAGGTTATGTTCCGGAATTTTGAGGTTAAGTTTCTTAATTTTTAGGTTACATTCCAGAATTTTAAAGTAAGTTCTTGAATTTTGAGGTTATGTTCCTGAATTTTAGGTTTATTTTCCTGAATTTTGAGGTTATGTTTCTACATTTTGAGGTTATGTTTATTCAATCCGTAACTACACAACATTTTCCACCTCACAACAAATTAAAATTCTTACCCGATTCCCAAAAAAACTTACTTTCAATACAATTCTGCATACTTAACCTCCTAGACATATCAAATAGCCATCAACAAACACCAAAAAAATTAAATTTATTCAAAAAGTCCACTTGATATCCAAACAAACGTGCAAATTACTAGTATTGGCCTCCAAAAATTTCAATTTTTACGCTCCAATGACTCCAATAGTCATTCTAACTATTTTGTCGTTCATTTTCGATTGTTTTATTGTTTCAGTCAAATTTTTTTGTTTATTTTTCTTACAAATTTTCCATTCATAAATTGAAATAAATGAGATTTGAAGCGGTTTATTAAGAGTTTGTTGACATTATGGCTTGATGTGAGTAGCGGCACTGCTGGAGAATTATTTTAATTTGAATGTTTTCTTCTTGACTAGAAGTTCTGTTGCTTAACAGGAACTGTAGGTGATGAAAATTAATTGAATGTGAAGTGGAAAATTGGATTTGTAGGGAATTGAGATATCTTTAGTTTTAGTGACCTAGCAGGGATGAATTTTAAGAATTTTGAGGTTAGAATTGTGATTTGGGATGTGTTGAATAAAAAGTAAGCCCAAGAACTGAGATTTACTAGCCTATTGACCCTTCAAACACCACAACAAGTCAACAATCTAATTTCAATCATCAAAAATCACAATCGAGTGCCAAACGTGCATCAAAACATCGCGAACATCCCGAATAAAATCAGATAAGCACACAAGCATGAGCAAAAAAATTTAAAATTACAGAAATTTGAACTAGAAAGATCAAAAGCTGCTGATTTCTCTCCCATTCCATTAATCTAAAGAGGAATAAGAACGCAAAAAGTAATTGTAATTTTGTGGGCACCTTCAGACGTGCGAGAAGTGCCTACACACATTTTCTCATTCCACATCCATCATTAAGTTCTGTAATCCATCAATTTTTTTCTATTTTATTTTCTGCATAAACATAGGAATAGCAACAAAGATTGTCTATAATTATGATAGTAACGCCATAATGGCAAAATAGAATATTACCCGACAAGTTCATCGACCTCACCTTTTTTTTCCTCTTTATATTCTATTTATATACATTTGTACACGCATTACTTGCTGAGTAGAAACGAAGAGAAAAAAAATAAATTTACTCACTTTAGTGCTAAGCAAAATATTCATTAGAGTTCGAGGCACTTGAACCCGAAAGTAGAATGGCAAATAGCTAAACATGTACGCAGTATGAAGTAACAACAACAAGTTGCGTCATCATTTGAATGTGGCGCTACAAATGTGAGTCTTTTGTTGAATACGATTCTTGTGGGTTAAGATTTGTGGCTGTTTTTTAAATGAAACTGGAATTGGCATAGTTCAAGGTGAGGGGTACGAAGCATTAAATGAGGACTATGAAGCTAAAATAGAGGGGGATGAAGCTAAAACTGGGGAGGACAAAGCTAAAATTGATTTGTGTCTGTCTGATTTTGAGGGGTACGGGGCTAAAATTGAGGGGGACCCTGCTTAACTTGAGGGGTACGAAGATGAAATTGAGGGAGATGAAGCTAAAATTGAAGAGTACGAAGCTAAAAATGATGGGTATCTGGCTGATTTTGAGGGGTACGAAGCTAAACATAACGGGTACCAAACTTCATTTGAGGGGTACAAAGCCAAAATTGAGGAAGATGAGGCTAAAATTGAGGGCATCAAAGTTAAAGCTGAGGAGTTCTGGGCTAATTTGAGGAGTTCATGTATAAAATTGAGGGGGACGAAGCTAAACTTAAGGGGTTTACTGTTAAAATTGAAGGAAATGAAGCTCAAGAAGGAGTTACTCTGCTCATATTGAGACTAGTTGAATAAAGAAGCTGACCTAAGGTTTTCACAACTCATTGGAGAAGTACAAAGCACATTTGAGGGATGTAAAGCTAATTTGAAAGACCTGAAGCTCATTTTGGAGTAAAAATCTCAAATAATTGAAAAAAAAATGTCGTTCCTAGTTTAAACAGAGCGGGATGAAGCTTATAATGAATAAGAACTCCAAATAAACAGCTTGCAGTTCAAACCAGACTGCATAGTCATCATGAACTTACACAAAAACCAAAAGTTCATTAAACTCCAAAAATGATTTCCTTTCCATGAAAAATTTTCTCTGTGGAAATCCGCACGTACCCAAAAATTATTTTCCATACCTGCAAAATATCTCTCAATTTGCCGCTTTTAAAGCAGATAAAAGATTCCAAGAATACTTCCTACAAGTCAGTCTTACGTCACAGAAAAAAAACAATCAACAGTCGAAATTTTTATGTAAACATTTATCCATCGTTTATTGACTTTCCCTCATCATGCCAGACTTTACTTCGATAAACATCTTCGATTCCTCCAATCATAACAATAAAAAGAAATTTCTGTTGAGATTCATCATCGCATTTTTAAACATTGATCGACCACAAAATGCACATTAAATATCCAAAAATAGTCGATCGGGTCATTGATCGACTTTTGTGTGTGTTTAAACTGTCGATATCCATAAATCCTCATTAATGTCATGAAAAATGCCTAACGGAATAAAAGAGTCGACAGCAAATTGTCAAAATATGATAATTTAGATTGAAGACGTCAAAAAAATGTTCAATTCATGACAACTTTTGGGCAAGATCAGAAAAAAAGGGAATAAATATTCAAATTCAGATTTCTCTGCTTTTAATAACTTAATTAATATGATTCCTTCACTACATGATAGCTAATAATAGTAAGTTTCTTTTTAACATTCATTTTTCAAAATGGCGACTTATTAAGTTAGTTTAATTAACAAATTAATATTTGAAATCGATTTTTCTTTGAAAAGAAAGCAAGATAAATGATTGGAAGCTTGACAAAAGTTGTAGAGCTTGCTTTTTTCTATCATGTGATCAAAATAGATTTTATCAAAAATGAGTTATTTTAGTTAAATTAACTGAAAACCAAATTGGATGTAAAATGTATTTTTAAATCAAAACTATTAACCTTAATCGGTCAAGAACAATTACTTGATATCTAAAGAGTCTTTTACTATTTAATTTACATTCGAAAAAGGCTTAAAAGTAAGTTAAATTAACTATAAAAACAATGAAATTTAAGTTGAGCAACAAATTTTGCTCTTATTTGCTCACAAATTTATAATTTTAAAAACCGTTACAAAATTTTTGGTCAAATTTTTTACTATAATTTAATTTTCTCTGCTTGTCTTGAACAAAAAGTAATATTTCTTTTGCAATATGATAAACATTGTTGAATTCTATAGTTTGAAATGAAAAAATCAGTAGACGAATAACACAGCAATGACTTATGACTAGTTTTGTAAAACTCATCATAACTTGGACAATTATAGTAAAATTGAAAATTTTCTCTCACAGACTTAAAGAAAATTACATATGTAACCTTTTTTGTAAAGAAAGATAGTTCCTAAACTATTTCCATCATATCAAAATTTCAGCTTCAACATTTTAAAGCTAAATTAACCTAACTTACAAATCCGCCATTTTGTATATTTTAGACAAAACTTTCAATGATCTGATTACTTAATTATCTGGTGAAAAAATCGTTATGATTAATGAAGTATTCGCAGAGATATTACATTTGCAACATGGTGTAAAATCGAATTTCCTCAAAATTGTTCGTGACGCTTAGCACTTTAAATTAATTTTTAATTATAATACAATGTCTAAGAGATACTTGTTATACACCAAAATATAGGTCTTGGCAAGGACTTTAAGAAAAACACAAGTCTTAAATACATATTTCGCATTATTGATTCAAAAATTGTAAATTATTGTTAAGCGTCACGAACAATTCATTTTTGATCTTGCCCTTTTACTTTTATGGTCGATTATCATAAAAGTTATTGAATTAGCTTTTATAAAATATTCAAAAATAGCCATTAATGACATGTAAATTTTGGAAAGATTAAAGGATTTATGCCGACTAATATGCAAGTAATTTTTATGGTCGTGGGTATTGAATGCATTTTGGATGATTAGTTTGAGAGATTCTTTAACTAAGATTTGAATTCAAATTTATAAGCTGCGTACCTTCCATTGTTTAAGCTGTGTACCCCATGATTTCAAGCTGCATATCCCATGATTCAAGCTGCGTACCCATGACTCAAAGCTGTGTACCCTAAGATTCAAAGCTGTGTGTCCCAAGATTCAAAGCTGCGTGCCCCATGATTCAAAGCTGCGTATGCCAAGATTCAAAGCTGTGTGTCCCAAGATTCAAAGCTGCGTGCCCCATGATTCAAAGCTGCGTTTGCCAAGATTCAAAGCTGTGTGTCCCAAGATTCAAAGCTGCGTGCCCCATGATTCAAAGCTGCGTACCCATGAGATTGAAAGCTGCTCACCCAATATCAAAAGTTGTGTGCACATAGGTAAAAAACTGCATACCCAAAGATTCAAAGTTTTGTTCACTAAAAATCAAAGCTGTTTACTCAAGAAGTCAAATACGCGTACCTCAATGTTCTAAGCTATGTACTCCTTAATTCTCAAATCTACTCACCAATCCGATGATTTTTTATTCCGAATCAATCAATTGAAAATCAAACATCCATTCGCACTTCCTGATGTCAATAACCCTTAACTGACTACTTTTCTATGTGTTACATATTAAACAGCAATTAGTCATGTAACAACAACCTATAAATAGTCAATGAGATAGAAAAGAAATGGAAAAAAAGTGAGAAAAATGTTTATGTGACATAAAAGTCATCAACATCATCATCATCGCCTAGATGACTAATGCAAAAAAGAGAGGAAAAAAGAAAAATTTGTTACATATCAAAAAATGGTAAACAGCATAATCTGCATGTTGAATCACATATGAAAGCTTTCCGTTCCCGGATACACATTGCCTGCTGTCATGCCATGTGTTATTTTAGTGTAGTACAAATTGCGTTACGTAAAAATTTCACTTCAACTGTGTCTATAAAGCTGTGCCATGAAAGCCATAGTCGTAGTAAATAAACTCTTTGAATTGGCTTTGAAATTATTATGCAACGATAGAAAATGTAGTGTGTGCGCCATTACAACCTCACATTTCACCGAAATACAAGCACAGCAGAGAAAGAAATTGTATGCGATCAACAGCAACAGAGGCTTGTTTACCATCTTCTCGGTCGTTGACTTTTGTCGCGTCTCTTTTGATTTTGGTTTTTGTTTATGTGAAATGAGAAAATTATTGTTCGCGCGAAATTCAAAAAAAGTTGTAAATGAAAGAGGAGAAATTTCTCTGGAATATGGCATGACATGATGTTGATGATCGAGAAAGATATATGGAGCTAGAGGTTGGTGATTGTGATGGTGAGGATGAGACGCTGGGTTGATAATGTGATTCATTCTAACCTCAAAACTGTTGAGTGAATAAGCAGTACCTCAAAATTATCGAAATGAAGAATTCCAACCTCAAAGTTATCAAATTGAAGAATTCTAACCTCAAAAGTATCATTCTTAGGAATATTAACCTCAAAATTATCAAATTGAGCAATTCTAACCTCAAAGTTATGAAATTGAGCTTTTCTAAACTCAAAGTTATGTAATTGAGCTTTTTTACCCTCAAAGTTATCAAATTGAGCTATTCTAACCTTAAAGTTATGAAATTGAGCTATTCTAACCTCAAAGTTATGAAATTGAGCTTTTCTAAACTCAAAGTTATGTAATTGAGCTTTTTTACCCTCAAAGTTATCAAATTGAGCTATTCTAACCTCAAAGTTATGAAATTGAGCTTTTCTAACCTCAACGTTATGTAATTGAGCTTTTTTAACCTCAAAGTTATCATATTGAGCAATTCTAACCTCGAAGTTATGAAATTGAGCTTTTCTAACCTTAAAGTTATGTAATTAAGCTTTTTTAACCTCAAAGTTATCAAACTAAGCTTTTCTAACCTCAAAGTTATCATATTGAGCAATTCTAACCTCAAAATTATCAAATTGAGCTATTCTAACCTCAAAGTTATCATATTGAGCAATTCTAACCTCAAAGTTATCAAATTGAGATATTATAACCTCAAAGTATAAAAATAATCGATTCTTACCTCAAAAAACGATATTTGATTATATAACCTCAAATTTTCGAGAAAAATCCAAAAATGCAAGCTATTTCCTGTTTCCGAGTGTCCAAACCCCAACCAATTTTCAATCGCGCGCCACTCTGCAAATCACCAGCAACCAAACGAGCAAAAAACACTTCAAATCAAACAACAAAATATGTTAGACGCAGAGAAAGACGAGAGAGAAATTAGAGAGAAAATTAAAGTTGAATGAAAGACGGAGGGGGAGGAGAAGGGGAGAATCACACGAGTGGGTCAACGAACTAGCTGAACTTTTTCGTCTCTCTATCTCTTGCCAGCCTACCTTATTATTATTATAATAATTTATTTCTATTACGACAAGACATTTGAGTTGATGATTGAAGTAGTTTTGTCTATAAATAGCAACAATAAAGTAATTTACTTCTATTATGATGGATGGATAAATGAATAAATTGATCTCAGGCACTGTAATTTTTTATTTTTTTTGTGAATGTTCTTATTGAGACATTTTTCAGTGTCGAAGAACTTTGCCGACCTTACTCGTGATTCGGATTAGTTAACTAGAAAATTGAGTTTTGCGAAAAATAAATAAAATTTTTTTGGTTAAATCGCTCATTAGCGAATTTATTTGACAAGTTTGAACGGTTCTGGGGTTTAATTTAAAAGATTTATTTATGATTTTATTATTATTATTATTATTAATTGTTTATTCATAGGAAAAGCCACCTGAAAAGTATTTAAACATTTTCAGGTGGCATAAAAACCTTGATTATGTTTCCAAACAAAACATGAACAATTACATTAAGTTACAGTGATATAAATATCGTTTAAGAACTTAAAACTGTTTAAACATTTACAAAATTTACTTTAACGATTAGAAAAAAAAAAAAATTTGAAATTGATGGACTAGATTAAAAGGTGTGTGTCTCTGCTAATTACTTCAAAAATCAAAACAAAATATCCGTTAATTTAAATAAATACAAACGTCAGCAATAGCAAATAAAGACATTAAAGTGGCTAGTAGATATCAGGATCATCAAGATGGTAACAGAAATCCAGTTATAGGAATTTACTGTATCGACAAATTATTAATTATTTTTTATTAATTTTAGGGAAAATTTTTCAACCATATGCCTGGAGGTAACTATTGTCAAAGCATTTCTGGATAAAATCTTCTCTCGATATGTATTGTCTCACTTGGAACTTGAATGAATGGATGTGAACTGCATTTTTTGTTTGTTTTGGTAAGTTATTATACACGTTGACGCCAAAATGGTGAATATCCTTTTTACCATAATTGTTTCTTGCAGGAGTCGGTCTGATATTTATCATGTTTCTTGCTAATCTATTTCTCTCGAACGACAGATTTGTATGGATTGAATTTTTCCTGCAAAGTTGGATAATGCTTGCTGTATTTAAAAAATTCATCGCTCTAACTGGAAAGATTTTGTCAGAAGCAGCTTTCCTATACATTTGGACTCTATTTTCAAGACGATCCATTCCATACATGTTCCTGATCATCCTATTTTGGATTATTTGGATTGGTTTTATCACTGTATCACATGCATTACCCCAGACTACAATCATATAATTGATGTGAGTAGCAAACAGTGAGTGATATATTTTGTGCTTAGCTGAAAATGGCAGTACGTTTTTCAGTTTCCACATTATGCTTGATGCTGCATTCAATTTTCTTTGAACTTCTCTTCCGTGTATATCCCATTTTAAATGTGGATCCAGATGAAGTCCAAGATACTTTATTGACTCTATTTTGCTGATTGTGAATTCTTCATTGATTATGACTGACTGTGGTTGAGTGCATTTAGTGAATTGTGAATGGAATACCATAAAATTTGTCTTCTTAGCATTTAGTATCATTCCTCGTTGTTCAAGGAAGCCGATTATTATTTCCATGTCATGTCTGATTGTCTCAGTGATATCCTCTTTTGCGTCATGCTCGTTGATGATTGCAGCATCATCTGCATACAGTATTACTGTTCCTTTGAGTCCATTAAGTTTTGTTATTTCATTGAAGAAAACATTAAACAACAGACTGCCTAGCACACTTCCTTGTATCACTCCATAAATTATTTCAATTGGGCTACTTATCTTACTACCAACTTTTACTACCTGCAGTCTTTGTGAAAGATAGCTACATAAAATTTCCTCTGCTCTTCCTCTGATTCCAATTGCGTTTAGGGTTTTCATTAATATTTTTCTATCGACTAGGTCAAAAGCTTTTTTTAGGTCCATAAAGACTATCGATACAATTTTTTTTTTGTCTAAAGATTTTCTAATTGTGCTCACTACTTCAAGTGCTGCTGTTTCTGTTGAACTTTTTGGCCTAAAACCAAATTGATTGCTTGAAATGAGGTTGTTTTTGTTGATGTAGTTAGTCAATCTACTATATAAAAATTTTTCGGTGATCTTGTTGAACGTCGAGAGAATTGAAATAGGCCGTAGATCATTCAACTCATTGGAGTTTCCACTTTTGCTTATCGGTGTAACTGTAGCAAATTTAAACGCATTTGGGTATTTTCCTTTTCTGATGATTGAGTTTATTAAGTGGCAAAGCATGGGACAAAGCTCTTTTTATTACTGTTTTGTGAAATTTGAGTAATTTTGTTGATGACTTTTACTGTTTTGATGATTTTGTTGGGCTGATTGCATGCTGTTTGATGTTGGAAGGAAGGATTTTAATGTTTGGTTACCTTTAAAGGTATGGCAAAGGATATTGATCAGTTTCACATCCTTGAACATAACCTCAACATCAAACCGATCTTGTAACTAAGAATTCAGCTTTAAATACGATATTTTTGCAATTATCAGCAATAAAACACACTATCCACACACTATTCTTTACTATCCAACCTACCACAATTCTCCAACATCTAGTCCAAAAGTTCAATAACTCTTCCTAGAAATCCAACAAACAAATCCAATCCACCTTACAATTCCAGAGAATCTCAATCAATAAAATATTCTAAGCTAAACGCAATTGCATCACATGTTAACCGTTAGCTAAGCTATAAGGAAATTTCAATTCAAACATCACATGCGACTTGTTGTGATATCCATTTGTAAGTGTCGAAAGATTCATTAACCTCCTGCTTACTGAATAAATTGTATGTGGATATGTCGTCGACCAGTCGTAAACTGCATTGAATATTGAATTTAACAGGAAGAAAAAAAAATATCTGAAATAAGTTTTTTTTTGACGATGATGAATAAGGAATGAGTTTGCAAAAATAGAAATGCACGTGTTGAATGTTGGGTTGATGGACCTTTTAGTTGTTGTTTTTAGAATGAGTTAAGAATGAATGGATTGCTCAATTTTTAAGGTTATGTTGCTGAATTTTGAGGTTAGTTTCCTTAATTTTCAGGTTAGGCTTCTTAATTTTGATGTAAAGCTACTGAATTTTGAGGTTAGACTTCTGAATTTTCAGGTTAAATGCTCAGCTTTGAGCCTAAATTGCTCAATTTTGAGGTTATGTTTCTGAGTTTTAAAGTTATTTGCCTTAACTTTAAAGTTCAGTTTCAGAATTCTAAGATAAGGATGTTGAATTTTGAGGTTAAGTTGCTGGGTTTTCAGGTTAAGTTGCTGAATTTTGGGGTTAAGCTGCTGAGCTTCAGGTTAAGTTGCTGAATTTTGAGATTAATTTTCTGAATTTTGAGGTTAGGCTCCTGAATTTTGAGGTTTAGCTCCTGAATTTTGAGGTTAGACTTTTGAATTTTCAGGTTAAGTTGCTCAGCTTTTGCCTAAATTGCTCAATTTTGAGGTTATGTTGCTGAGTTTTGAAGTTACTTGCCTTAACTTTGAAGTTCAGTTTCAGAATTCTAAGGTTAAGATGTTGAATTTTGAGGTTAAGTTGCTAGGTTTTAGGTTAAGTTGCTGAATTTTGAGATTAATTTTTGAATTTTGAGGTTAGGCTCCTGAATTTTGAAGTTGGGCTCCTGAATTTTGGGGTTAAGTTGCTGAGCTTTGAGGTTATGTTTTCAAATTTTTAAGTTATGATTATAAATTTTGAGGTAATTTGCCCTAATTTGGAGGTTAAGTTCCTGAATTTTATAACTAAGTTGCTGAATTATGAACTTACCTCCCCAAATTTGAGGTTAAAATAAAAAATTTCATTTTTTTTTTCTAAGAAACATTCTCAAAAATAATTAATTTTAAAACTAATATCCAATATCATGTGCGACACACATAGTGCCTCACATGTCAGCATATTGAGTTGTTTATGATGCTAAAAATAGAAACTTTTGCTAACACGACAAGAATAGATTTTTAATTAGATTATCAAGTTTTCTACGTGTTTGTCATCGAAACCAATTATGAGCTTATATCGGAATTTCATTCCCAGATGTGAGTTGATCAACCTTTCGAGAATCTAGTGACAATCTAACAGTTCACTGACCCAACCATGCAGAAATTTAAAGAATGTTTTTTCACAACTTTAAAATATATAAAAATTTCATAACAGCCACCATAAATTTCAATTTATGCTGCATACTTTTAATTTACCGACCTTATAAAATTCAGTCAGTTTATAAATGTAAAGCACAGCAACCAAAGAGAATGAGAAGAAAAATAAGTTTTTGTGCCATAAAACAACAAAATTTACAGCCGAAAAGAATTTTGAAAGTTTATGGCCGTAAAAAATTTACAGTCGGCTGTCAATCGAGAGAATTATTAATTTTTCATATGCAAATTGAGGTATGGAACAATATTTTAGATTTTATAGCATTGATATGAGAGCTTTATGGTTGATTATGATTCGATAACCTTAAACTTCAAGAACCTAACCTCAAATTTCAAGAACCTAACCTCAAAATTCAAGAACCTAACCTCAAAATTCAAGAACCTAACCTCAAAATTGTCATAATTTAAACTCAACTCTCAGAAATTCTTCAAAAAATCCCACTTAACACCCCTCAATTC